GGGGAATTATCGAGGGATAACCTTGCTGAGCACAGTGGGGAAACTCTTTGGCAATATGATAAACAATAGAATGGGAGACATGTTGGAGGGGAAACAAAAGATAAGCGAAGGACAAGCTGGATTTAGACCAGATCGTAGTTGTGTAGACCATGTATATACGTTGAGTAAAATTATCCAAGGTAGGAAAGACGCCGGGCGTACGACATACTGTTTCTTCCTAGATGTACAAAAAGCCTACGACACCGTTTGGCGCAATGGATTGTGGAAAAAGATGTGGGACATAGGGATCCGGGGGAAAATGTGGAGGATGTTGAAAAAGATGACAGAATGCACAAGAAGTGCAGTGATGTTGGATGGGGAAATCTCGAAGTACGTGGATATACTCCAAGGAGTCGCACAGGGCTGTACGATGTCACCCACTTTTTTCAAGATTTACATCAACGACTTGATAAGCGCGGTTGAAGCAGTAAGACAGGGAGTCCAAGTAAGGGGAAAGAGTGTGTCCGGACTGATGCTTGCAGATGATTTCGTGGGGGTATCCGAAACACCAGAAGGGTTGCAGGAACAAATAGATGCGGCAGTAGGATACACCCGAAAATGGAGACTGTCGGCGAACGTAGGAAAATGCGCAGTAGTGGTCTGTAACGAAGACAAGAAAAATCCCGTAGAATTCAAATGGAAATGGGGGGAGGAAGAACTACCGGTAGTAGACAGGTATACGTACCTGGGAGTAGAGATTTCGAAGGAGTGCTCATGGGACGCACACATAGCAAAGTTGATTGGGAAGGGTAAAGCTCAGATAGGCAAGATGGACGAGATCCTTACGGACCCACACCTAGACACTAGGATTAAGAGGTGTGTTCTCTTGAATGTGATTGTACCTAAGCTAGAGTATGCAGGAGAGGTATGGGAAGGTAACGAAAAGGCCGTCAAGCAGCTGGAAACGGTGCAGATGGCAGCGGCCAAGAAAATACTAGGATGTTCAAGTACAACGAGCAACACTGTATTGAGAGCAGAACTGGGAATGTACTCTCTTAAAACAAAGAGAGACATGCAAAAGTTGAATTGGCAGTACAAGGTAAGTAGAATGTCGGACGATAGACTACCAGCCATGGTTGACAAGGCAGCTTGGGGAAAAGCGACTCCAGGGAAGAAAGGAATCAGATGGGACAAGGTGGTAGAGAGGGTTTGGAAGGAGATAGGAAACGAGGAGGAGACATTGGACACGGAAGGGTTCGGGGGGTTCAAGAAGAAAGTCAAGGAGATGCTAGAAAGTAGGGAGGAGGCAACCCTTCGGAAGAAGGTACGAAGCGAAGACCACTTGGAGATATACGGGAAGTTGAAAGAAGGGATAGGGATGAAGAGTTACTTGGACGGCCCCATGGACTACGCAAAAAAACTGAAGTTGCAATTTCGAGTGGGCGATCTGGACTTGCCAGAACGGAGGAAGAGGTACAGCAGCCGTAGGAGAGAGGAAGAGGAGGATAGACAGACATGTCCATGTGGCAAATCGGAGGAGAGTAGACCCCACATAGTGGGGAGTGTGAGCTGTACAGGAAGGAAAGAGAGGATCTCGAGGAGGACATGAGACAGAGAGGGTGTGACATGGACAAGTTTGGGAAATTAGACAACAGCGAAAAAACGATCGCGGTAATTGGGGATAGATGGTGGGCACAAGAGGCCGTAGAGGACGGGGATAACATGTGCAAGGAATTCTTATGTAGTTTGTGGCAGAAACGTAAAGAGCTCCCAAATGTTGGTGGTGTCTCTAGTAGGGGTAGGAACGGTGCTCCGTCTCGAAAGGGACGCGTGGTCAATGGTCAAATGACTACGGCAAGCAACAAATGAGTACGCCCCCAACTGACCCGTGCCTATGCCCCAGACGGAGGGCGCGGGCGGACGAAACATTGAATGAGTATTTTGTGAGAGTTTGCATCTTCGCAATTCACGATCGGCGTCTACACCAAACGAATGAAAAACCCGGGCCGCTGATAAACATTTTATCGCCCGAAAACACAAGACAAGAAAAACGCTCGGTACAATGCGAACCTAGTCGAATGTAGTGTGCGTAAGTGTAGTTCAGTTTTGGGCCCGCAAACGTACTGCAGGGATTGTAGGTGTGTACCTCTTCGGGCTTGTGTAGCCTGTTCTTGCTGAGTGCGCGTGTTCTTTAGATTTTCTAATGGCTCTAGCATTTTTGTGAACACGGGCCGAGTCTCTGCTAGATTTCGGGAGGTAGCAACTGACACATCAGTTCAATGTGAAGGCAACAACATCAGCAACAAGGAGAACGAGATTCCCACACAATATGCCCTCTCTCTCACTTTCTTCCCCCCGCCGCTACCGTGCGACAGCTCCAGGTTACGATCCGTCTCCGCCGTCTCTTCCCATACAGCCTTGCGCTTCTTCGTGGCCGTCGATCTACCTCCGAACAAGACTCCCCGCTCCGTGCTTGTGACCGGAGATATCGGCGTGATACGAAGAAAAGTGACGACGACGGAACAAGGGGGGTGGGTGAGCGGAGATGGATCGGCCACCTGTCGTCGCTCCGAGCCAGGTGAGGGTCGCGGGG